CGATCACTCTTACATGCTATTCAGACGCATGATGCGTACTTTGGCCTGTAATTATGGCCATATTTGAGCGTCTGTTAGGGTTCCTAGCGTGCATCCAATGAACTGGATTCAGTACAGTGTTTTGCAATCACCAATGATTTTTTAAACAAAACATTTGTTCTCATTTAAAAGTGTGGTCTTAAAATACATATTCCTCCTAAGATACAATAGATTTCATGCGATCTTGGCTGGATGAGTTTTAAATGCGGTTAACAGGCAAGCCACCGCACTGGTATCTCTTTTTTAAACATTTAACCCTAACCTTTTGAATGGATGGATTTCTGGGACCAGAGCTCACGCAGAGCAGTGCTTGCTGTGCGAGCCCTAATCCCTACCATCCCATTGCGCAGTTTCATGTCAACGGCAGAATTTGGTGGCGGGAAGTTCAACATGCCGCAATGTGTGACACTCCGTCCTGTTCTCCGACGTCATCTGACCTTTCGCGTGGCTACTGCCACCGGCCGTAGGCCATATCTGTCAAGGAGAAATAGCAACCGCCAAAAACCGACTCGAACCCGACCCGCCACGGGTAGGTGGATCAGAAGCCAGGCGCTCTAATCAACTGGGCCAATGGGACGGACCAAGTGGTTGAAGGGTCGCTTAGACACTTGATAATCTTCAACAAGCACTTCAGCACACCCAACTTTGTACCGTACTCACACCTTACAACAAAAAAATAAATCATAAGTCTCATCGCAAACCAGGTGTGTCACTTCCTTTTCAATTGAGGAAGGGGAAGACTTCGATTCACAACCTGGGCACCAGCCCCCCCCCCCCCCTCCAATTTAAGAAGAAGCTGGGTGACATTTGGGGAATAACCCATTTGTAGGAATATTTTGAGGATAGGCTCTGTTGTACTCAGTTCTCATCCCCGCTCCCCAGCTTAACAGGGACATAGTCTTTCAAAACTATGCCTCTGCTGCAGGCACATCATCTTGCATCACGCCAACCTGTAAAGAATGTCAGCAACAGTCTGGCAGTCTTAATATTGTTTTTCTCAGCTGAATGCAAGACAAGGAGGTTAGTGATCATTTATACATGGTTTCCGTACTCCAGGCTACAACACTATTTAGTTGATATTTGGGAGGACTCCCTTTGAATTGACAAAATCGTTGGTAAGTTGAGCATATTTGGTAAAAGTTAAAGCTAATTCTGAGAAAAGCTTTAACGAGGACTGCAAATGAAAATTACCTGTGATGTGGTGTGGTTCAAACACTCAGATATCTTAGCTGAATGCTAGCACTCAGTCTTCACACAGCACTCAACTTCACTGTGGAATTAAATACGACAGAGCATTGCCAGAGTCTTGTTTCTCGCCTTCAATATCTGCATCACACATGCATCTAGCGTGCCCAAACTCAGTGACGTCAAAAAATGAGGGCCGGAAAACTCAGGGTTGGTACCCGTGATCCCTTTTGATAAAGGATTGGCCAGCAATTCTGACCTTATCATTTAAGATCAATACAAATATGCACATATCTTCACTCACACATTTACCTCATTTACTTCTCACACAATACTTGGTGCATGCAAACCACCAATGACACTGTCATTTCAAGGTTAAAAAGCCCTGTTGAAAGGTCACTATATTTATTTATTAAAAAATTACAACGTCAATAATGCGCTAGAACTGAACAAATATCCAGTTTTCCTTGCATCGTTGTTCCCTCTTATGTTGTGTTTGGAAGAAATCATAAATGCTCTTGAGCGGCGAGGAGATGAGAAGGGTTTAGCCACACCCTGGTTGGTTACACGCGTCACGTGTCATGACGCCCACGTGTTGAACTATGGGTTTGGCTATTTTCCATGGGTTTACACCTTATGTGCCACACCTCTGCACCCAGCACGCGGACTCACACGGGAGTGGCACGCCTTGATAGGGAAGCGAACGGGCAAACACCTGCTGCAAATTATGATATCGCACGTGCCAGGTGTCCACGTGCACGAACCTATAAATTGAATTGTTCCATTTCGGGCCGGTTTATTCACGTTTTGCGGCATACCTCGGCACCCAGGGCACGAAGCGACTCGAGAGTGTCATGCTTCGATAGGCAATCTAACGGGCAATGACGTGGTTTAGCATGCGACTTCGCACGTGTCACGTGTCACGCGCACACTTGCTGTTAAGATGCACTTTGCCGAATGCATCTGTTTTTGCGCCTTACGCCACCATTCCGTCCGCAGGGCGAAGCTACGAGGCAGATCCCGACCCACTGCTGCGGAAATAAGTTCCTAATGAGATAAGGCAGGGTAGAACGTCCTCGTGTTGAGGCCCCGTGATGCTACGCTGCAAAGCATATTAAACTGACCACGGTCTGTGATTTCCGCATACAAAAAGCCATGACACCCGGCGTTGCAGTCTCCGTAGGCCGGGCGTCGTTGGCTTCGTGGTTTACGCTACGTGGCGACCAACAGGCGTGCAAGACTTATGTATTTGAAAGAAGTACCATTCAGAGTTTTATTGAATCAATTTCCTCATCTAGAAGGCAGTTCAGGGTGCATTTCACCTCTAAGATTGTTATAGTAAAAAAAGGGCGGATAAGCACTTGTAGCACCGCGAGAGCAAAGGCAGAACCTCTTGATTTCGTGTTGCTCTAACTGTCAATCTCTTGGCAGGTCAGCCTCAAAATTGTAACAGTGACGTATGCGTCACAGTCTAATCTTTGAACGGGGTGAATTTATTTCCAAAAACTTTGGGAACACTATTTCACGACCGCCGTTCTCGAACGCGCGGCGCCGGTCATCTGGTATTTTCTACAGCGGCCGACGACGTACAGTTTTATAGAAAATGAAGCACGACCATAGCAGTTCTAGCTACGAAGATTGTGAGCAAACAGCCTTGAACCTTTTCACGCAGGCCGTTTCTCTGTCCGATTCTGCATATATATGAATGTTCTTAGGTAGCCATGAGACCGTTTACCTTATTCTGGCAAGGCAAAACTTGGGGCACATTATCTGACTAGAACCGGCGCTGGGGGGCTCTAGGAAATGGATGCTAGAAGGAAAATATCTAGCTAGAGGGGGCACTAGCAGCGTATAGAACACTAGGGGATGCATCATCGTTTGCGGTCAAGGAGGCACCCTTCCGTCCCAGCGTAGAGTGCCTACCGGCTGTCATTCTGGCGACCTGGGGCGGGTCCCTTACTCGATCCAGATCCAGACCCTCAGAGGAATCCATCATATATTGATACCCCAGTCGACGCAGGAGCCTTCAATGACGCAGTACAGTTTTTCATCGCCCCAGTTGATCCAACTTTTTAGTCTACGCAATCACCCACGAATTGATGACCAAGGTGCCTCTTCTGTCCAGCGGCGGCAAACACGGGGAAATGTCGCAACAAAGTGGCAAGGAAGACAGGAAAGATGAAATGAAATGATGAGATATGTATGACAAGGATGGTGAAATTAAAAAGCTGCCACCTCCCTTGTTAACACTAGTTAAATGAGTATAATAGTGATGTTATTGAGTAGCAGGGTATAAATGAAAGCAGTTAGTGCCAGAAATGACGGCTGAAACTTCCTTAAGACTACGGTCAGCGTTAAAGTACCTAAATTTTCCCTTGTTTGCGTGGTAGGCAGTCTGCCACCGTAATGTCATAATTGGCGCGCCACCGACAAAACTGGCAGAGAGGCTCCAGTTCAGCTTAACGGGCGCTTGGCTGAAATGGGGAGAGGGGCAGTGGGGTACTGAGGGCCCTGTCTGCCACAGGCTTCTTTCATTGTCTCGTGGACTGAAACTGAGTGTTCAGATCTCCATTCACTGTTATAGGCCCCCAAACAATCCCAAGAGGTTCTCTGGCATTTGGGATTTTGTCCTTATCCCTGCTCAGTAAATAGGTCCCTTAGCCGCATTGGGGCCTATTGTGGGAATGCAACCCTTATTACTTTAGAGGCCCGTGGCCGACCCAGGGGCTCCTCAGCGCCGCAGGGGCTCTGACTAATCTAAATCATGGGCCCCAGCCTCGTCCCTGCTTGGATGCGAGGTCCTAAGGGTTCAGATCGTCACGGAGTCGACTGCTTCATGTTGGTGGTCTCTGGCCGAAATAGGGGTCCGCATTGTCCCAGGAGTCGGCACTATCCCTTGCCAACACAAGATCCCGGCTAGACACTGCGTGCCTTGGCCAGCCTGAGGCTGTTATTGACTCACGGGCCCTAATCAATATAAACAGCCGGCCCGGTCATCTTTTTATTTGGTAAATAGGTCCCCAGGTCCAAACGCCACGGAACCGACTGTTCAGTACTGATCCTTATTGACCCAGGTTGTCCCTTATAGGCGCAAAGTGCTCTCTGACTGGCATTTGAGGGTCCGGCACTGCGAGCCAAGCCCTTTAATGCGATGTCCGGCCAGCCCTTTGGGGCATCAAAATGCCCTTACTTGCTCGTCCCGAGGGGCCATTCGGACCCTGGGGACTAAGGGGAGGGGGATTGTTCCCCTCTCTACCTGCGCCACTGCCCTGCCAGCAGCGCGCGGGTCTCTGAACAAAAAAAAAGAAGACGAACAAAAAAACGAATCACCACCCCCGTACTTATCAATGAATTATTTGTATCTGCTCATGGGCCCTTTTCTTTCGCTCGCGACTGACCATAGTCGCCTGGAGGTCCAAAGATGTCCAATTTTGTTGCGTGTTGTGCTAAAAAAGCTGCGTCCGTTCTGCAGGTCATGCACACTTTCGGAGCCTATGCGCCCCTTCGGGGCCCAAGGGTGCCAGTGTGCAATGCATCACTCTCGACATTATTTGAAAACAGAAGTTATGACGTGCAAATTTATTGCTCAATGTGTGCACTTGTTATACATGCGAACAGGGTGCAGTTAAGAAGATGCATTAGCAACAGCACGCGGTGCAGTAGAGGAGATACACTAGCAATAGTCCGTCAACGTCCAAGCGTAAGAAACAAGAGGCATCCGTTCGTCGAGCGCGTACCACCTTCTCCCAAGTGCACACAAGCCAGTTCTACATAAGCTAGAAGCACACGATCCGGAAGAGCCTTTCGCACAGAGCTGCAGCTGAGTGGACAGTGAGCTGTCCGCCGGCGCGAGCGTCCTCACGTTCTCGACCGGACTAGCCCTCACTCTGGACCGCGACGGTCAGCAGCCTCTGCAGAACCATCCCCCACTACGCAGTGACCAGGCGCTCAGCAGCAGCCCAGCAGGCGCCCAGCGGCCGCCCAGCAGCTGCCCAGCGGCCGCTCAGCAGCTGCCCGGAATGCAGTGAGACCCCTTGGCGTAGAAGCGCGTGCCGTGCAGACAGCGCTTCATGGTCGGCACGCCGTCCACGCAGTGGTAGTAGTAGTGGCACTTGGAGGACGCGAACTTGCCGTTCGGCTTCGGGCGAACTGGGCCTCTGCGAACGCGACAGGTTTGCTGTGAGTGCGATGGTCACGCAAAAAACGCGTACGTGGGGACTTCAAATGATAGATTTTACGTGGGCAAAGGTTGCCCACGTCATAACCCTGAATTAGGATAACCGTCACACATGCATGGACTAACTGATGATGTTCAAAGATGTGGCATATAAGCAAGCACATCGAGTTCCTAGGGTTTGACACGAAATTATGAATCCTTATCCTTCACTGATGAACTGGTTTGCATTGGAAGCACAACAAAGCACCGCGATCACAACGTACCCAAGAAGCCATCATCGTCCTCGACAGTGCCGTGGTCCGGGTTCCTGTACAGAGGCGAGCTCTTCAGAGCAGGTGCAAACGACTTCACGCGCTCCGCCGACTCCCTGCCGTGGTGCTTCGAGCCGCTATCGTGGTGGTGGTTCGAGCCGCTGCCAGGGTGGTGCTTCGAGCCACTACCGTGGTGCTTCGAGTCGCTGCCATGATGCTTCGAATGAGAGCCGCTGCCATGGTGGTGCTTCGAGTCGCTGCCGTGGTGGTGCTTCGAATGGGAGCCGCTGCCATGGTGGTGCTTCGAGCCGGAGTCCGAGTCGCTGCTGTGGTGGTGCTTTGAGCTGGAGTGAGAGTCGCTGCTGTGGTGGTGGTGAGATCCGCTTCCCGACTCGGAGCTAGAGCTGGATGAATGTGGCTTGGGCTTATGCGTCGGCTTGGTCGGCCTGGTTGGCCTGGTTGGCCGTGTCGGCCGGGTCGGCCGGGTCGGCTTGGTCGGCTTGGTCGGCTTGGTCGGCTTGGTCGGCCTGGTTGGCTTGGTCGGCTTCGTTGGCATGCACCCCGGGACGTCTTCAGGGTAGTCGCAGACCTCCAGAGTCGGGTTGTAGACAAGGCCCTTCGGACAGCTCATCGGGTAGGCCTTGCCGTTCTTGCACTGGTAAAATTTGTGGCAGTCTTTGGGATCAGGTACTCTGCGGCAACAGACACGTATGCTTGCCTTTTGAGCTGTTGAGCAGGACAAATATCTGGCATAGTGTGTTTCGTAAACGTGCGTTTGTCCTTAATGGATGAACGATGATATTGAGAGTGCTCACTTATCAATATATATGCAGTTCAGTTCGCAGCCATGAGACTATTCAAAAAACAACCAATGAGCAACAATAATGATACTTAGGGCAATATAACAGCAGGGGGAAAAACAGTTTCTGGCTGTGGCTAGCCCAGACTGCAACAGTTCAAAACGGTGCAATATTTACAGAGCTTCAGATCTGTGGACAAGTATCGTGAACATGCGAGCGGCTGTCAACAGCGGTGGCAGAAAAGTAGCAGAAGCAGAAGAATGCGTGCAGCTGCCATAGCTGCTGCGAGAGACGGCGTAGTATCCTCCACCTCACACCACAGTGGAGCCCCGCAGACAGACCCGGAAAGCCAGCTGCACAAACCAGGACGTCACCAAAAGATTCAGTCACTAACCTACTTCGATCGGCCATTGTCAGCATGCAGCATGTCTCGAGCGGGAGAGGCGGGTGCTGATCGGGCGGCGGATGCGTGAAAGGTATGTGCGGTGCTGTGTGCGGATTACACTACAAGGAAGGTGACTACAGACTGGGTGCAGTGTCAGCGGCAACACGTGACGATTGCTGTCTGCCGTGGGGGAAAAACAAGCTACCGAGGTGAGCGCGGCAGCCAATCAGTGGCCGTGGTCCGGTGCGGTGTGTCGGGGAGGCGTGGGACGGGTGAGGGGCGGGACGGGGAGGGGGGTTACAGGTGACAACAGCCGGCGGTCTCGGGCGCGTCGCACGCGTTCGTGCCCGTGTTGAAGTGCGTGCCGGCCGGACAGTACTCGATGCTGGCCTTTCCGCCCGAGAGCAGTTGAAAGTAGGTGCCGCAGTTCAGCGGATTGGCGTAGGTACCGTCGCTCTTAGAGCAGGGGGAACGTACACGGAGACGGGGGCGGCAGGGTGGGGGGCGCTGCCGTAGTGGTGGTGGTGGTTGGGGTGGGGGTGGTAGGTGGTGGCGGCTGTGTGGCAGTAGTGTGGGCGCCGCATTTCACATTGGCGGGCAGATCGCACACTTCCGTGTCGGGGTTTAAAGACCAGGCCGGTCGGACAGCTTTTTGTGGTAGGCCTTGCCGTCCCGACACTGATAGAAGCCGCTGCAGTCGTCCTTGTCCGGCAGCCTACGAATGCACACACAAACACGCACAAAGGCGCATAGTTAGGCTAGAAAAGCTGACCTCTGGAGCGCTTAGGACACCGCGGGAAAGACGCTGCAGAAGGATTTCGGCTCATTTCCCGTCAGGATATTAGTGACGGCCACAATTTAGGAACGTTGTTAGTATCTGTCAATGGCTTTTCAATGCTTTTGTGAATGCACACCTTTCCACAGCAGGGACATAGTTGGAACTCCGGCTGAAGTTTTAGAAACATGCACGAAACCTATTTTTGATTTGTCCACCAAACTCTGTGAGTGATGACAGCACACCATTGTAAACCCCGCTATCACCGCGGCCCCACGCCAGCGAGATTGGAAAGTACTTACCACCTTTCCCTCGAAAGACGTACAAATGTTAATTCAACATACCATATCGGTTAACGCGTCACCCATGCCTATGTACACATTCATGCACATCTATATGCATGTGTACCATAGGTATCTGCATCCATTTACACGATCAGGTGACCCTCGCGGCACACAATAGTTCGACATTTTGCAGATACATAAGTTGGGGTCCCGACCCGTACCCTTTAGCATTCAGCATTTGTGGTTGAATGCGGATGCTACCAACACTTTGAGATAGACAATTTTGCCTACGCGACGTGCAAGAAGTTGAGATGAACTTAGTAAACAGTGCATCACTGGAAAAATGCGGGGAAAGCAAGGAACTCCTGCTGTCTAGTACAATCAGAGGACACGACAGAAAACTGA